CCTTGTCCCTGTGGCCTGAGGACAAAACCACAGTCTCCTCCTAGGCATTTCTAGTGTTCAGAATGAGAAAAAAAGGACTGGGTTTTCAACACCCCTTACAAGTAGAACACTGTTCCAGAACCGCATTTGGCTACACATTTCTCAATCCTCACTAACTCTGCTCCCCCCCCACCCGAAACCCCTGCCCACTCTCCAACCAGAAACAAAACAAAGCAAAAACTATAGTTGTCTTCTACCTTCTGGTGCAAGCACTGGGCTTCCTCCAGAGCAGACCAGGCCAAAATCAAGGGCTGGAGCAGAAAATAACATTTACAGAAAGAAGAGCTAGCTGGCTCTTTGAAAGACAAACCTTAATTTATTCATTCTAAGACATGGGTTGAGCACCTACTAGGTACTTTTGCACCATTCCAGGCACTGTGATACAACAATCAACAAATGAGAAGTGGTTTGCATGGAGATGATACTCCAGTGGGGGAAGACTTGACTGTGGAGGTGGTACTTTCCAAAGACAGCCACATGCCTTCCAGAACTTCGCCTCTTCCTCATCAAAAGGTGGTGTCTAATACCCTTTCCACTGAATCTAGTCAGACTGGTGACTCACTTGTAACCAACAGAATGCAGCAGAAGTGATTTTGTGTGACTTCTGAGGCTAGTTCATAATAGGCAATGCAGCTTCTGCCTTGTTAGCTGGGACACGTGCCTTTGGAGCCTTGAAACAAAATGTAGGAAGTCCTACTACCCTGAGACTGCCATGCTGTGAGGTGGCCCAGGTCACATGGAGAGGCCATGCATGTGTATTCTGGCTGACATCCCAGTTGAGGTCCCAGCCAACAGCCAGCATCAACTGCCAGACATGTGAGTGAGTGAATCTTCAGATGTTTACAGACCTTAGCTGTCCAATCACTCCAGCCTTTGCGACTTCCCAGCTGTGGCCCCACACATATGGTGGCATAAAGATGAGCCACCCCCACTGTTCTGTCCAAATTCCTGACCTACAGAAACCATGAACATTAGAAAATGGTTATTGTTTAAACCACTAAATTTGAGGTGGTTTGCTATGCAGGAATAGTTTGTAGAAAATGGACGGTAAGCAAATACATAAGCAAGATAATTTTATATCGTGATGATGGGTGCTCAGGAAAACACAATACGGCATGACAATTTGGAAGAAACCCTCCTTAGATGGGGGGATGTGAAGGGAATAGGAGGGAGAGGTAGGGAAGTATGGATATGGAAGGCCTTTCTGGAGAGACATTTGAACTGGAATCTGAGTGAGAAGGAGCCTAGCCACTGAAGATCTGGGAGAAGAGACTTCCCGGTAGTGGGTACAGCAGGTGCAAAGGCCCTGAGGTAGGAATAACCTTGGTGTGTTCTGTGAAGATCAAGAAGGCCCGTATAACTAGGGGGGTGTGAGTAACAGGAGAGTGGGCGCAATGAAGATGAAGAGGAAAGCAGAGAGGCAAGTGGCTGAGAAGAGTTAGATTTCAGGCGGAGTGCGCTGGGAAGCCAGCGGAGGGCATTAAACAGGAGTGGCCTGGTCTGGTAAGCGCTTGGTGAGAGCTTTGGCTGCCAGGTGGATGATCGACTGTCAGGACAGACAAGGCGAAGGAAGGAAAGACAGCCTTGGAGGCTATGGTAATGGTCGTCCAAAGGGGTTAAGGATGGCGGCCTGAGGTAGGATGATGACCGTGGAGAAGGGGGCTGGTGGACAGACTCAGGACACAGGCAGTGACAGTAACGAGAAGGGTGGAGGCGCAGGCCAGCAGGTCGGCCCCGGGCGGAGCCGCGACGTGGGTGAGGACCGGAACCCGGCATCCTTCTGGAATCGCAGAGGGAGGCTCGGAGCCAGGCGGGCCAGGACAGAGCGTACTGGCGTCCGGAGACTGCCGCGGAGCCGGCCCCTGGCTGCGAGCCTGCCTGGCGTTTCCTGGCAACGGCCACCGCCGCCCGAACATTCCGAACCCGGCGGCCTGGTGACGTCATCGTCACCTTGGCGACGGCGAGTGGAAACGCAGTCCCCCCCCTCCGCGGGGTTCCGGGGGCGGGGCCTGGGCGGAGTGTGCTCTGCCTTCGGCCGTGCTTGGTTTCCAGCCACGCCCCCCGCCAGTGGGGAGAGACGCGGCCCAGGCGTCCTCGCAGGTGTGGCAGCAGGTGTGCAGGGCGCTGGGCGAGGCCTCACCCAGCGGCCACTGCTCTCCTTGGTGCACACTGCCACCCACGAGCACACCACCCATCCACACGCCTCTACCCACTCTTCCCCCAGGCCGCTGCCTCCAGCCATTAGGACTGGCTCCTCTGTGTCTCAGGTCACCTCCGAAGAGATGGCTTCTCCATCACCCAAGCACAGTAACTGCCAACCCTCTTCTCGGGGACTGACCGTGCGTTTTGTTTCCCGCACAGTATCTCTCTCTCTAACTTTATCTTATCTGCTTATAATACGTTGTCTTCCCTCTTTAAACTTAAGTTCCATGAGGTTAGTTAGGGATAAATTCTGCCTTGTTCATCTCTATTTTTAGCACTCTGAAAGGAAACCTGGCATGAAGTAGATGCTCAATAAATGTTAGTTGGATGAATCAGTGAATTCACTTAATCATTTCATTCATCTGTACATTCAATTATTTGACATTTATGCAGTGCCTTCCAGGCACTTGAGATGAGCACTAAAGATACAGAGATGAACGAGACAGGGACTCCACCTGGAGGTGAAAAGCGATATGTTAAAACTACAATAATACTAAATGTGAACATTTTTGAGTTCCAGTTGCTAGGTATAGCTCCAAGCACTTAATTAATTCACTTAACCTGCACAATAGTAAGTACTATAATTGTGCCCACTTTACAGATGAGACACTGAGAACAGTCATGCTATAAGATGCTGGGCCCTGTAATCAAGTGAGGTCCCACAGACAACAGGGGAGGGAGACATGTGGCAAGGGGCCCAGGGAGATGTGGGTAGATTTGGTATCTTATTGCTCCCACATAGCACAGTTTTCCACAGGTGACAGGCTCCTTCCAGATCAGATCTCCACTGCCCTAGGGGAACCCCCATATCAGCAGAGCAGGCAGTGAGGAGGCTGTGAGGGTATGGAGGGCTGAACCCCGGGCTGGTGGTAGGATAGGAGCCTGCCTGCTCAATTGAAGTGAAGTGTGGGCAAGCTTCCACGTAACCTTGTAGGAGCAGGGAGGGGGTGGGGCAGGACAGAGCGCTATCTAGGAAACCCAGCAACTATCTCCCACCTCTGGGTTTCTGCACATGCTCTTCCCTCTGCCTAACATGCATCCCCCCCCCCCCCCCATTTGAACATAACTGGCTTGTTATTATTCAGATCCCAATAATAATCGCCCTTCTTCCTGACCCAGCGTTTCCTGTTTATGCATCATCTCTTGCGAGCAGTACCTCATTAGAACTCACCTCTGAGCTCCTGCTGCCCGGACAGGTATTGCATGCAGCAGGCGTGCAATGCTTTTTGAGAGTGAAAAGCGCCCTTCACCCAATCACTCTGGCTTTCCTGGCCAGGATCTGTCCCTTCCCTGGAAACCCTGCTGTACACACAGCATCTGGCTTGAGCAGGGAGAAGTTGTCTGACCATCTTGGTCAGTGGAATTCTCCTGGCATGAGGCCCTCCCTCCTTCCTGAGCCTGACTGGGCTACTCTCACTCTGGAGCAGAGGGCTCTGGTCAGCTGCCACTCTAGAATGATGTCCAAGCCCTGGCCGGTTTGGCTCAGCGGTTAGAGCGTCGGCCTGTGCTCTAGAGAGACCCGGGTTCGGTTCCTGCTAAGGGCACGTACCTCCGTTGCAGTTTGTCCCCGGCCCTGGTTGGGTCATGTGGGTGGCAACCACTCCATGTGTCCCTTTCACGTTGATGTTTCTCTCCCTCTCCCTCCCACTCTATCTGAACAAAATATCGAAAAATGTCCTCGGGTGAGGATAAAAAAAAAATTAGAATGATGTCCAAGAACCACCAGGGGGGGAGGCCAGAGGTAGAGGGTCAGCAGTGTGTGTGTGTTGGGGGGGAGGGGACATGGGCAGGCCTTCCTGGGCTCCGGCCAAGACGGTAGAAGGGGTGGCTTTTCCCAGCCTTCCAGCCCTGCTGTTGCCTGGAAAATGGGGCACCTGGAGGTTGTGGCTATTTTCCCCCACAGTGGGGACCTAGATGCACATACAGTTAGATCCACACAGAGGAGAGAATAAAACTTGGGTTTATTCGGATTGTTTCCTTCCCATTTGGGTGCAAAGTGAGGGGCAGGGGGGTGGTGAGGCAGTACCTTTAGCTTCTAGGGACATTACTGACTGCCAGACCTTGTCTGTGTGACCTTTGGGTGCCAAAATGACCCTGTGGTCCATGGAGACGGTGAGGAAGGGGCTGCAGCAGAGCCCTCTGGAGCCCTCAGCCCAAGCCTACACAGAGGCCAATCCAGTGTCTAGCAGGCCCTGTCCTCTCCAGCAATTAAGGAGCAGACAGCTGAGAACATTTCGACCCGAAACAGAAGTAAAGGCTGAGGGTGGCGGGTCATTCAGAGGGCTCCGCCCCGAGCTCTGGCTGCAGACCCAGGCATGTCAGCGTGCCGGCCAGTCCTGTGTGAGGAGCGCATGCACCTGCACAGATTCCACCCTCCACAGACAGCTGTGAGCCCCCATCCTATCCTGGGCCCAGGCCACTCGGTGGGCCCCTTCCCAATCTTTCTTTCTCCCTTTGCAAGAGCTGAGCCTATTGATGGAGCCGAGAAAAGATGCCTTTTCTTCTTGGTCCTGGCCTCATGTGCAGGAGATAGGCAGCCACCTCAGTCCCCTGGAGGCAGGCACCCCAGGGACGGGGGGTGGGTGGGGTGGAGGGGCTCACTGGGCTGCAGGCTGCAGGCTGCAGGTGCTGCTGGGCACTGGCACCCTCCCGGCTTCTGCCAGGCCCTCGCTGAGCTCCATGGGGCTGTGCAAGAACTGCTTTAACAAGGGGGAGGCTTGGAGCCCCAGCTGGGGACCTGCGCCCCCTAGTGGCCCTGCCTGCTTGGGGACTGTGGTGGAGGACGTGAGGACTGAGTTTCTGCACTGCTCAGTCACAGTTCTGGGAGCCACCAGGCCCAGTCTGTAGTTCCAGAACACTCTTCTGCCGTCCACTGAGCAGGGAGCTGGCTGAGGCAGGGGTAGGCCTGGGCTGTCCAGAGCACTGGGTGACCTCTTTTTTCTCGGCCTTGTCCTGGACACCTTTCTGATGGAGCAGTGTCTGGCTCACATCCTGGGCCAGGGATGTGTTTTTCACTGAAACATCCGGGCTGCCCCTGGGGCTGGGAGCTTCTGGAAGCTTCCTTGTGGCTGACTTAATGGAGATGAAGGTTGGGGAGGAGGGTGACTCTCTGCTAGAAGGCAAGATGAGAGGGAGGCCTGAATCTTCTCTCAATGTCTCCAGCCTCCTGGTGGAAGGGGCGGCTGAGACTGCTGGACCTCCGGCCTCTGTGTGATTTCTGACCTTGGCTTGACTCTGGACCTCGATTTGGCTCTTGATTGCAGTTTGACCCCTGACCTCCTGGCCTGAGCAGTTGGGCCTGGCTCTACTGCTGTCCATGACACTGACCTTGTAGGCACTGTGGTCTTTTTGGGGTCCTTGGGAATGGCCCCAGGTGCTAGCCTCAGGCTGCAGGCTCGACATGGAGCTAAGGGCTTTGTGCACAGCTTCCTCAGTATCCAGCAGCCTGGCCAGCATCTGTTCCTTCAGCCGGGCCACCTCTGTGCTGACCCTCATCAGCTCCCCAAAGGCCTGCTCCATTGAGGCCTCGGGCTTACAGGAGGCAGCAGGAGCCTGAAGGGCCCCGCCCAGCTGGGGCTCAGCCTCAAAGAGGGTCTTCAGCGCCCGCACATCCACGCGGCTTTCGGCCTCCTTCTCCAGAGCCTGCCCCTGGCTCAGGAGGCCCTGGAGCTCCTGCTGGCTCCCCTGCAGACTCTCAGGGGCCCCTTGGTGGGAGCCTTGAGTCAGCTTCCCTCCTGGGGTGCTGGGGCCCTGCTGCAGTGAGGTGGGGTCACTGATGAGAACGGAGAGCTTGGGGGGCTCAGGGCTCTGGGCATTCCTATCCACAGCCTGACTCTTGGTCAGCCTAGGGGCTCTAGTGCTAGGGCCATGTTGGGGGCTGGGCTGGTTCTGACCACTGGAACCTCCAGCCAGAGATGCGCATCCCTGGCCTGCAGTGGTGGGGACCTTGGCCGGCTGAGGCGTGGCTGCATCTGTCTCTCCTTGTTTGTATTCTTGGGAGGAGCTGGGAGATAGAGCTGAGGGCTTGGGCAGCCTCCGAGGAGGGGGGATCTGGCTTAGGTGTGCAGGTTTGGGGGGCAGCTGGGGCTTCTTCCTTGGGGGTACGGTGGGCTCTGGTTTCAGGGTCTTTGTCTGTGACTCCCCAGGGGTTCCTTGGCCAGCAGGGCCGCTGTGGGAGTGGAGAAAGGGGTCGTGCAGCGGCTCCCAGGCCGGCCGGGTGGCATCCTCCTCCTGGTGGGCTCGGGCTGGGAAGTCAGGTCCTGTCACAGCAGCTGGGAGAGGAGGAGGAGGAGGAACAGAGGCATTATGGGAGTGTGGACTGGCACCTGCAGCCTGAGGCCCAGACGCAAGAGTGTGATGGGCTAAAGAGGCAGCCTTCGGGGTGGTCTCTGCAGCTTGGAGGCCCCCTGGGCCGTCTCCTGCCACGGTTTCCTCTGGCGGCGCCCGGGGCCTCTGTGTGCAGGCCCCAGGCTCTTTCCACCCTGGCCCAGGATTCTGACTTGGGCATCCTTGGAGTGGGCTGGAAGCCTGGGCCGAGAGGGCAGTCTCCCTGCCCTTTGGGGGGTGTTCCCTCTCAGAGGGCTGAACACCCCCAGGTAGGTCACAGGTCCGCACAGAGCGAGCAGCGTAGATGCCATCCTGAATAGTCACCCACCCCCCAGGCAGCCCGCCGGGCTGTGCTTTCTGTTCTGCACTGACCTTTCTGGGGGCTGCTGAGATCCTGGGGTCACCTCCAGCCATGGGCCTTTGAGCAGTCCCAGGGGCCGTGGCCGGTGCTGGCAGGAGACCATCCTGGAAGGGAAAGGAGGCGGTGCCAGGGGCGAGGCCCCGCCCCTGCTTGTTCAGAGCCTGCTGGTGCAGGCTGTGGGCCTCAGCGGCTGTCGTCTGCTTGCTCTGCTTGGTGGCCTGCAGGTCTGCAGCCCCAGGCCCTGGCGGAGTAGCAGTGGCTCCTTCTGACCTTCCCGAAGCTTCCGTCCCTTTCTGCCCCGTGCAGCTGTCTTCTTGCTTTCCTTTGCCAGCCAGATGGACTGCCTTTTCAACGGTCCGTGGTGGACAGGGGGTGGCCCCTGGGCCTCTTAGAAGCCCCATCCCCATGCTGGGGTCCAGTGGGGGAACATGAATGATGCTTTCATTTGGGGGCAGCCTCTGGGCCTCCTCGCTGGCTGGCACTGGACTTGGGTCAGCCGGTGGCTCCCACCGAAGGCTGTGTAGGCCACTCAGGTCTCCTTTGTCTATGCAGCTGGCCAGCAGCTGCACACTGCTCCTCTCGGGCACCCTGCTGGCTAGCCAGGGCTGCAGGGAGTAGGCAGTCAGTGAGACCAGGCCCTGCTCCGTCTCCTGCATCACCAGCCCAGTCCTTGCTGCAGAGGTGCCCAAGCCACAAGCTAGCAACTGCTGGAACTCTGGGTCCAGATCTGCGACATTCCCGCTGCCGCCTGGAGCTGGAAGCCTCATCGGCTTGAGACGGAGCTGGCCTGCGGGGTCCTCCTGAACCAGCAGCCCCTGCTGGTCCACGTCTGGCCGGTGCAGCACTTGGTGGACAATCCTGGGAAGCTCACCAGACACCAGCTCCTCCTTCCTTATGTGGGGGGCCCCCTGCCCTGGGCCCGGGAGCACGTACTTGGCAAGGCAGAGCTCCCCTGGCCCTCGGGCCTCCATGAGGATGCCTCCACGGTGCAGGATGCCAGGTGTGGCGTGCAGAGTCCGCAGGGTCCCCTCGGCTGCGGTCTCCTGCCTCTCTAGCACCGCTCCTGACAAGCCCACAGGCTGCTCTTCCTGGAGGTCACCCCCACGGATGCTCTCAGCTGCCAGGGAGCCCATGGGGCAGTTTTCAAAGAGCCAGGTGAACTTGTGCACAGACCCCACAGGGATGGGCTCAGGGATTGCCCTGGTCCCCTGGTCTTCCCTCTTCCCTGCCTCCAGGGCTAGGAAAACCTCCTTCTGACGAGACACCTGCCCCGAAGGGATCTCCACTCGGCTGCAGTAGCGCACAGGCCCTCTCCCACAGGGCCGGCCCGAGGCCTGCAGAGGCTCAGTCTCAAAGACGTGTCTGTCTGTCTGTCTTTGCCCAGCCTGGACCTGGCTAACCTGCAGGTGTTGCTCCCTGTCGCCCTCTGGCCTGTCCAGGGGTTGGGGCACGAACATCCAGGTGCAGGACCGTGCCTCAGCCTCAGTTGTGGGATCTGTGACCTCTGACCCCTGCTTCTCTGCCAACTCACTCATTGGGCATGTCTCAAACAACCACCGGATGGTCTGCACGGCACCCTTTGCGGGTGCCTCAGGCTGGGGACCTGCCTGACTCCTGCCTGCTTCTTCCTGTCTTTCCTGCCGCTCCCGCTGGTGGATGACTTCCAGGGGCTGGGTCTCAAAGAGCCACCGGGCAGTGCTCACATCTCCAGCCACCACTTCCTGCCGGGTGATGCCCCGCACCACGTCCACGGTGCTGGGGCTGTGGCCCAGCTGGTCTAGAGGCTGTGTCTCAAACATCCACCTGTAGCCCTGCACATCGCCTCCGACGACTTGCTCTCTACTGACAGAGGTCAGGGCATGGAGGTGGCCTTTGCCATCCTGCATGGCATACACTGGGGACCCTGTGTCCTGGGACTGCCCAGCAGAATTAGTTCCTTCTACCTTGCTCACACTCCTGGGGGTGGCAGGCTCACCCTGCCCAATGCTGTCCAGGGGAAGGGTCTCAAAAAGATTCTTGAAAGTCTTCACATCCCCCTTCACCCCATCCTTTTGGGGGGCACTTGCTGAGGAACTGTCATTGGATAGATGCTCATACATGAGCCCCTCATCTTCCCGGGGACCCACCCGCTGCAGGTGACCCACTTGGACCTTGTCTCTGGAAGTGTCCAGGGGCTTCATCTCAAATAGCCACAGGGTGGAGCGGACATCACCAGGGACCACTTCCTCTTTGGGCGGGGCCTCTGCCCCAGTCTCCTCCTCCCCCTTTAGAGTGTCTAGTGCTCGGGTCTCAAACAGATGCCGCTGCTGCTGAACATCTGGTCCAGGAGGGATGAGGTCTGGGGATGGCTGGAAGTCCTTCTCGTCCACCAGGATCTCTCGGATGGCATCCAGGGGCTGCGTCTCAAAGATCCAGCGAGTTGTGCTGACATCGGGCCGGGCTCCCTCCTCCAGGGAGATCCCCCGGATTACCCGCACCTGGCTGGGGTCCCGGTTGATGGCATCCAGAGGTTGGGTCTCGAAGAGCCAACGAGCTGACCGCACTGCGTTGCTTTGGACCTCCTCCCGGCACGCGGCCTTGACCTCGTGGATGGCGCCTTCTGCATCCTGGATGGCACACAGCGGCTCCGTTTGGAACAGCTTCACGGTCTTCTTCACATCGCCCTTCAGCTCCTGGATCTCTGAGCGCAGTTCCAAGGGACTCTGCTCCTGGATGGAGGGGCGGGAGCCCAGGCGGTCCAGCGGCCGCGTCTCAAAGAGCATCCTGGTACCCTGGACATCTCCACTGGCCGCAGGCTCCCTCACTGTGGCCTCCGGCGCTTCGACCTCACCCGTCAGCTCATCCAGTGGCTTTGTCTCAAACAGTCGGCGGGCTGCACGAACATCCCCTCCAGATGGCCGAGGTCCCGCTGGCTCCTGGTCTATGCTGTTGGCAAAGGAACCTTCCTCAAACTTGCGGGAAGTGGCCTGGACGTCCCCACTGGGCACGGGCTCCTTGGGAGCTGGCTTCTCGTGGTCCCCAATGGCATCCAGCCGCCAGTTCTCAAAGATCCAACGCATGCACTGGACTTCACCCTCAGTGGGCTCCTCAGCACCCAGGACCTCGGCCAGGTCCTCAGCCACGGCCTCAGCCAGGTTCTTGCGGAGCTCAGGGTGGATGTGCTTGTAGAGACGGCGGAGCTCGGTCGCTTGCCGCTGCTGGTGGAACTTGGAGAAGGACTCCTTGGGTGGTGGCGGTGGCAGATCCTCCAGGACAGGTGGTGGAGGGAGGGGCAGGTCCTCTGTGGTGGCCATCGGGATGGTTGGCGTGGGGGCCACCTGCATCTGGGTGTTGGACATCCTTCTGAAGAGAAGGGCAGAGATGAGGATGGGCTGGGGGCCTTAGGTGGGAGGGGGCTGGTTGCTGGGAGAAATGGGAGGGAGCAGGGCGCAGGGTGCAGGGGCAGAGTAGGACTGTGGTGACATGCCCTCTCCAAACTTCACTTGGGACTCACTCTGCCGCCTGAATGTGTTGTGTGACAAATCTTAAAGTTAGGGTATGCGCAGGCCACCACCAAGGTGGGTCCCTGCTTCCCCCAAGGTGGGCCAGTGGGCAACACGATACTGCTGGCCGAGAAGCTCTGTCCTTCAGCCCCACAAGGGATGCTCAAACCTCCAGCAGGAAAATGGACATGCCCCCTCCTCATCTTCCTTTACCAAAATCGGTTCCCTGGTGGAGCCCCAGGTGAGTGGCCTGAGGGAATCCTGGATGATGGGGTCCCAGCCAGGGAGAGGCGACAATTTCCATAGAGAAGAAATTCTCTTCCTTAACACCAGATGGCGCACTTGCCACTTTCACTGGGCGCCTTGCCCAACTTCTACCTAAGCTCTCAACTCACTCTAACTTTTCCCAGGCCCAGGGAGGCAGAGCCAGATCCTGGATCCCAGGTAGGGGTTCCTGTGCTCTACCCCAGAACTCAGAGGTCTGAGCTAGGGGGATCTCAAGGGTCTTCTAGTCCAACCACTCATAATTAAAGATGAGGACACTGATGCCCAGAAGGGGTCAGATCTTGGTGAATGAGTACGAGGCAGTGCTGTTCTGGGGTTCCTAGACCCTATTTGGAGGCTGGCTCCCAAGAGATAAGAGGGTAGGAGGTGTGAAACTTTCTTATTGGCTCTGGTGCCCCCTTTCCCCAGCAGGCAGCCCCAGAACAGTGAGGGTGACACCTATAGGGAGGGGGCAGTGGGACCCTCTACAGCCACAGCCCTGACCCTTGTTCACAGACTCGGTCCCAGCTGTGTGCAGTGAGCCTGAATCTGGCTCTGTGGTTCTCTCCTTTCTGTGCCTTCATGTCAGCCAGTTTCCACCAAGGCGGGGCCTCCCCCCCAGCTCCCCTGCCCCCTCCCCGGCCTCCCACTCCTCAAGCCCTTCTCTGGTCTCTGTCCTCTGGGTCTTATCTGTCTTGTGACAGGTGTACTAACAGTCCCCAGAGGCCAGCAGGACAAGAATGAGAAGCATGCGCCCCCTCCTGCTTCCCCTGACCCACTGCTCTGCTCCACTCAGGGCTAAATATAGCTGAGGTCCTGGCCGCAGCAGGGCGGCCCTGGCTCTAGATGGGACCCTGGGGGCCTGGCCCATCTCATCTCCTCCTCCCTGGGGTTGCTGATCCCGCCCCTGAGCTGGTGTCAGGCCCCTGGCTTGCGGAGAGTCGGAGAGTCGGAGAGTCGGTGCTGGGGCCTGGAACCCTTTGTGGTCGAAGGGGCATGGGCTGAGGAGAGGTGCAGGGACAGTGGCAGCAGGTGGGGGCAGGGCTTCCTCCTCATGGCTATCTCAGAAGGGGGCGCTGAGACCGGCTTGCCCCCCACCCCACCCCGTCTTGTCCCCCATGAGGAACCTGAACTCCGAAACCTGCCACAAGTCTCACCACGTACACTGGGTGCGGGCTTCCTTTAGTCTCTGAGTTCTAATGAGGACCCCCTGCCAAAGGCAAACTGTCTGCCCCCCTGTCCCCATCCTGGCACCACCCCTGTGGCCTGAGCAGATGGCATGTGCAAGGCCACCGACTCCGCCCCTCTGCCACCCCCAGGAATCTCCAGAGTCCCTACTGTTGAAGCACGGAGTCCAGCGATGTCAGACCTAAAGGCCCTTAGAGGTCACCGAACCTGAGGACAAGCCCTGTGCCCAGCTGCCGTGGATTCAGACGGGGAAACTGAGGCCCGAAGAGGGGAAAGGCGCTGTCCCAGGAGGCTCCACAAAGCAGTAGCAAGGCCGGAAGCATGTTCCTTCACTCCTGGCTTCCCCATGCCTGCCCGTCTGGCCTGAGACCCCCGAGCTTACGTTTCTAGAAGGCAGCGATGGGTCGACGCAGAGCTGGGACCAGACTTAGGCTGGGGGGCCTGAGCCCCAAGAAGTGTCCCCAGCTTGGCCTCCCAGGGCTGGCCAGCCCCTCAGGGCAACCCCACCTCTGTTCCCGGGGTGCCCCTCCTTGGCTCAGCCCCTCCACATGCGTGCCCTCCCCAGATATGCCCCCAGGGCAGGATAATGGCCTGGGCACAGTCCTAGGTCATGATCTGTGTGGAGTTGGGCTCAGGCCACCCTGGGGACATTCCTGGGGCCAGACACGCGAGGACTCTCTCCCGCAGCAGCTGGGCTTGGGGCTTGTCCTCGCGGCTCAGGGTTGGGCCCACTTCCCACCCCCACCTGAGTGTCCTCCCGCCTCTCTTCTCCCTCCTTCCTCCAGACACCGGGCCTCCCTGGGAAGACGCCCTGAAGCCGGGGCAGTTCCACACCTGTACTTTATTTTATTGATTTATTTTTGTCCCCACCCGAGGACTTTTTTCCATTTTTGTTTAGTTAGAGTGAGAGGAAGAGAGAGAGAAACATCAACGTGAAAGGGACACATGGGGTGGCTGCCTCCCGCATGACCCCAACCAGGGCCAGGGACAAACTGCCACCAAGTTACATGCCCTTAGCGGGAATGGAAGCCGGCTGGCTCTCTCTGAACCGGGGGCTGCTGCGCTCACCGCGGAGCCAAACTGGCAGGGCTCACACCTGTATTGTATGTATTTATTTATTTATTTATTTATTTATTTATTATTTTTTATCCTCACTTGAGGACATTCTTCCATTTTTTGTTCAGATAGAGTGAAAGGGAGAGAGAGAGAGAAACATCGACGTGAAGGAACACATTGAGTGGCTGCCACCCGCACAACCAACTGGGGCCGGGGACAAACTGCAACCGAGGTACGCGCCCTTAGCGGCACCGAACCCGGGTCTCTCTGGATCGCAGGCTGACGCTCTAACCGCTGAGCCAAACCGGCCAGGGCTCACACCTGTATTTTAAATATTGCCACTCCACGTCACCTCCTCCTGAATGCCTTTCTGGATTTTTTTTCAGACTGGCAAGAACTTGTCTCTTCTGTTGGCCTCGGGCCGGTGGCCACTGCTCACACTAAATCTCCCCAACTTCCTCGAGGAATCTTTACGTCAGAGACCCCTCCACTCACCCACATCCAGATGCACAGCCCCCCTTCCTGCCACCCCTAATGCATGCTATCCTGAGCGCCACCGGACGGTCAGAGGACCCCAGACTGGCTAGCCAGCCCCACCATGGGCCGACGGGGGCAGGCTACTCACCTGGAAGTCCTGCTTGGCTGGCGGGTGCTCGGGGTCTGTGGCAGCTGTGGCCTAAGGGGCTGTTGCTCCTCTCAAGCTCCTCGCTCAGGGTTGTTTCTACTCTGCTGGATCCGTGAGATGCCTCCTTGCTGCCCTGGCTCTGGGTCTCTGTCCCCTGCCAGTCCCAGCAGCTGCCTTTATCTTGCTTGCTAGGGGGTGGGTCAGGGTGGGGGAGGGCAGGAGCGGCTAAGTTCAGAGTATGAAGTGGTTCAGTTATTTTTAGGGCTTGTGGAAGTCACTCTTCCATCCTGGGGAATCGGTTACATGTCCTTTCTGGCGGGGAGGGGGGCCGAGTGAGGGGAAGGCTTCATTCATCCAGGCTGATCTGAGGCCGGGCTCGGTGACTCAGCGTGGGGAAGAGTTGTCCCAGACTATTTTGAGGAAATGAATAAGGAGGGGCATCTGACACCTGGACGGCCCTGTCCCCTAATCCTGTGAGCTCCCCCCTGGCCCTGCCACCTCCCTGCTCTGGACTGGCCTCTGACTGTGTCTGATGAGTGTGTGTCCACTGTGCCCAGAGACTGGAGCCCCCGAGGGCTCTGACATAAGGCCCGGCTCTCCTGCCCGTCTCTGCACTGCAGATGTCCCCTCTGTTCACTCCTCCTCCGCCCACGACGGGGTCTGCACAGCCCTGAGTACGGCCGGGTCCTGATAGAGACATCTGCGCATCTAGGCCTCGACTCCGCTAGGCCCCTGACTCATCACAGAATTCCACAGAATGGCTCTGTGGTTTTCATAGCAGATTATCTGGGTCCTGGGGTACTTTGGGGCTCTTCCCTCTGACTCAGGGCCCAGGTTTTCTGGGAATGGAGGGGAGGGAGAGGTGGCAAGCAGGGAGCTGACTGTGGGGTTATTTCTGACCCTGAAGTCATCAGCTGCCAGTCACAGAAGGAAGGGGGTGGGTCGCGGTGGCTCCTCCTTTCTGCCCAGAGCCTGAGGGGTGGCAGGGTCCTTCCAGAGCACACCTGGAGGGAACTGTTTGCCCAGGCTGCGTGTCCCAGGCTGTGCAGGTGCATTCTGTTACCCGGCAGAGCGGGGCCTTCCTTCGGACATCCCAATGCCTCTGGTCCAGGGAGCAACACCAGGCCCTGCTCACTTTTTCCATTGAGTCAACCTCAGCCTGCGGGTGGAGAGAGGGGCATCTGGGAAACCCCCGCCTGGTCTCTTGGCCCTTCCTGCTCCCCCTGCCTTTTTCTACCTTTCTGCCTGCTCCCCAGGTTCTCCCTGGGAAGGTCAGGAAAGTGTAATTTCCAGGGGAGAAGTAGCCTTAGGTGTCTCAGGGAGTCTGTGCCTGGGGAAGCCCAAAGTGCCTACCTGCTCTGGTGGTTTTGAGAACTGAATGAATTAACACATGGAAAGGTGTTATGAGAGTGCTTAGCAAATACGCTACAGAATTGCCTCTATGATTATTATGTAAGAAAAGAAACTGGGGCCCGGTGGTGTGCTCAGTGGTTGAGCGCCGACCCCTGCACCAAGAGGTCACCGGTTTGATTCCCATTCAGGGCACATGCCCAGGTTGTGGGCCCAATTCCCGGTGGGGGGCGTGCAGGAGGCGGCCAGTCGATGTTCTCGCTCATCAGTGCTTCCATCTCGCTACCTCTCCCTTCCTCTCTCTCTCTAAAATCAGTAAAGAAAACAAAAATTTTAATAAAAAGAAAAGAAAGTGGGTGCTTGAAATATCCGG